ACCTTGCGGTTCTCAGTGCCGCAGGACAACAGGAGCCACCTTTGGACGAAGTCAAGACGCTCCTCGCTGGCCACCAGTTTCACCTTCACCTCCCCGTACGTGGTTTCCTCGTCCTTTGCGTCCGGCCAGTATTGGCTCACCTTCACCTGTGTGTGCACGTGGGAAGACGTACATGACTGAGTGGTCATAGGTGACAGTTCGCTGGGACAGCGTACAAGGAAATGAAAATAGTGAATGTTGAAAGACGCGAGTTTTTGAGAGACAAATTCTAAGGATAGTTAAAATCAGAATCTCTCTCTCTCAACCAATTTCCTATTTACATGATGCCACACATTCTGCCCCTTGTAATTTTCTTCTAGTCAGAAGTTAATTCCGACTTACATTACGTTAGGCTCAAACCAGCTAAGAAGGTGCAGAACCTCGAGACACACCTCACTGAATTGCCACCAGGCTGTAACACACCTGCAGCAAGAAGCACCACATCTTGAGAGCACCACGAGAAAACTTGTACATTAAAAGAGGACCTGCGCAGTTGTTAGACTGCCGCAGCATCTGGCCAGATACTACTCCCACGTGATGTCCACCACTATTGCCCAGCGAAACTCATGTCAAGAGAACTAGTAAATCACATCCCTTGTTACTCCCCCTTGCAATCCGTATCTGTAACAGAAAGGAGGTAGAAAAAACAAATCCAGTTATTTCTCAAATCGGTTGGCAACAACTTATCGATGGAACTGAAGATCTCCATTGGTCACTATATGACGTGTTTATCAACTGGCATTACCTCTCACTCACCTCTACCAACTTTACCCAGCACAGGGCATGTGCTCCTCTTTGTTGAAGACTACTAATGTAGTTCCAGTTAATAAAAGTTAATAATAGTGATGTTACTGTTGTCTCAAGCAAATATTGTTTTGACAATCTTTTGTTGAGACTCGTCGTGGCAAGAATCACTGAAGGAATCCACGATCAGTGGAGCAGTTGGACTGGATGTTGGTGCTACTTTTGAAGGGAAAACTCAGTTTTTTGATAAAGGATCCAAACGACGGGAACTTCTGGCTCTTATTATTTAAATCATCATCGATTACCTTCAACATAGCTTCCTTATGGTAGCTTTTAATAAGCAGAGTCCGTAACACAGTGCCAGAGTGGAAATATAAACACAAAAGCAGTATAATATGATCCTTTATCGACAACGTTTCTCCCAACACAATGAGCTTTTCAAGTCGCAACAAGATCTACCTGGGTGAAGGGTACGAGAGTATTTATAGGATGGAGTCAGGTGGAGAATGCTGTATGTGACAATCTTCCGAGTAGGGTGACAGAGTCTAGGACCTTGGGTACCTGGAGTTTACCTGGAGAGGGTTTCGAGGATCAACGCCCCCGCGGCTTGGTCTGAGACCAGGCCTCATGATGGATCAGGGTCTGATCAACCAGGCTGTTACTGCCGGCCGCACGCAAACTGACGTACGAACCACAGCCCGGTTGGTCAGGTATTGACTTTAGGTGCCTGTCCAGTGACTTCTTGAAGACAGGGGTCTATTGGTAATCTCCCTTATGTATGCTGGGAGGCAGTTGAACAGTCTTGGGCCACGGACACGTATTGTGTTGTCTCTCAGTATACTCGTGGCGCCCCTGCTTTTCATCGGGGGAATGTTGCATCTCCTGCCGAGTCTTTTGCTTTCGTGTGCAGGTTTGGTACCAATCCTTCCAGGACCTTCCAAGTGTATATTAATATGATTAATATGTATCTCTCTCGCCTACGTTCTAGGGAATACAGATCAGGGTCCTTCAACCGTTCCCAGTAATTTAGGGGCCTTATCGTACTTATGTGTGCTGTAAAAGTTCTTTGTACGTTCTCCAGGTCTGTAATGTCGCCAGCCTTGAAGAGGGCCGTTAGTGTACAGCAGTATTCTAGTCTAGAGAGAGCAAGAGATTTCAAGAGTGCCATCATGGGCTTGGCATCCCAAGTTTTGAAGGTTCTCATTATCCATTCTATGGAATAGATAAGTATATGAGTAGACCTTCCGCAGTGTTCCTCCATTCTTATGTTCTTATGTGGGATAGCGATGAAGAAGTTCCTTGGCGAGGGGTTCAGCTATGTTATAGAAGCCGCTGTTCTGGTTGAAGCTGTTGGATACACAGATAAGTGAGGATTCCATGATTCTTTGGTAGTGAGCGTTGTCTTCTCTAGCGATAAGTCTTGCGTTTCTGTTGATTAAATGGTTGTGTGAATTTCGGTGTTGAACACAGGCATTCCTTGAATCGTCAGATCTGCCTGCGTACTGGTGTTCTGAAATACGTGTTTGGATGTCTCTGGATGTTTCCCCCTCGTATAATTTGCTGCAGTCATTACAAGGGATTATGTATATCCCTGCAGTGGATTGAAGCTTGTCCTGTCTATTACTGGTAATGTCTTTCATGGTAATGGATGTGGAGGTAGATACTTGGAATGTGTTATTAGAAAAGATGTTGGAGAAGTGTTTGGCAATGGAGTTGGTGGGGAGGACGATGTATCTCTGTCGGTATTTTATATAATTTATTTCCACAATACCAGCGTAGTCACAGCCCACGAAAAAAAGTTCTTAGCGACCTCATTTGATCCACTAATCTCACAACTACGTGGAAAATTGCACGCGAACCTTTTTTATAAACGAGAGCAGATAACCATTCCTGAGTTATTAATCACTCACTAGTAGCAATATCAGCCTAGGACAAGCGATGGCAGCTCACATTTTCTAAGGAAAGATCACAGATAATGGCCTCCAAACAGCCTGATTTCTCTACTGGAACTGGTGTCAAATTGAAAGAAAAATAAATTAAACTGGGAAATTCATATTCAATGGTTTAAATTATAACTCTCTCAACAAGTGTCTACAGAACTATGCAAGATGTGTCACTTTGTGGTCCGCCACTTATTCCATCTATTACTTCTGAACTGCTCAAGACAACTTATCTAAAGGCTGTAACAAACCTAGCTGGATCTCTCACTTACCCGAGATTTCAACACTGCAGAGCTTTCGGCGATTTCACTGCTTTGAACTAGACAGATTAGCAGTTTCTATCCTGCTTAATCTCACGGTAAGCCTGAAGAAAGCCATTACGCCACAAGAGAGGCAGTCTTCAGTAGTTTCAATCAGTCTGTACCTTTCTCGAGGATATCATTGCTACATCGAGCAGACATTTATCTGCCCACTCGAATGTGGCATACATTTTCATAATAGATGACTGAGGACTCCTGTCACCTGGCCAAATGCTTTACAAGAGGGCAAAATATTTCATAAACATAAAGTACCTACACCTATAATATTAGTTATACTAAAGCTCATGATATGGCCAGGTTTTCCAATGAGCTGAGGTTGAGTAACAGCTGTTAAAATTCTTGTAACAATGCCTATCATTAATTCAGTAAACAACAAGAGTTTAAGATACCCACAAGTCCTCCCTCGAAGAGTCTGGCCAGCATTACAATGATGTTGGTGTTGTTTTCCCACACCATGCGCCAAAAGTCATTGATTGTGTTATCATTAAAGTCTTTGGGCCCTTGCGTCGCAATGTATGCCTTGGAGTTCCTGTAGCTCTGTCAGGATGAGAGCAAGAATATTATTAGCATCAAGGCAGCGTGCCTCTTTCCTAGAGAATGGTGGATCGACCTTCCATCCGCTATGGATTGAGCATTTCATATAAATATAATGTAAGGATGTGATGTATCGAGTCTGTTGTTTCTGTGTTGTGAAGATACGAGAATAGAACCACAGAAGTGTTAAACTTTGACTTCCTGACACTAGTATGAGAACCTCACCCTTACAGCTCCAAGGTCTCTAAACTGTAGAAATCTTGGGAACCATAATTAACCTAGGCGTCAATAACACAGGGTGACTGTTCAATCACAGCAAGCTGTATTCCCCACAACTTCAGGAACTCGTGTTTCTCCTAGTGTTAATGTTGTTAAATATTCACTACCATTGTTTGAAAAGTATGCAGTCATTGACTATAACTCTGCAGTCCTGTGTAGTTACACATATGCTTGTATTATGTAAGTAACTATCCAGTCTTCCATATTATTGTTGTTTGTTTAGTCAGGGCAAACATCACCTGACACTATTCATGATCATTTGATGTCCCATTTAGTGCCTCCTTCAGTTTCATAAAAAAATTATTAATTAGTTGTGACATCTTCAAAAGTTCTCTTAGCTTTTTTTTTACCATGGGTTATCTAGGTGTGGCTATGCAATTAAATTAGACATAAGTGTTTTTAGATCATTCACCCCTAGAATTACTAGAGAAGCAGCAGCTCTGGTTGGGTACTGGTTTAATGGCAGTGGTAGAAGAATGTAATTTCTAAGTATCATTGTCGCTTGGCAGTCTAGCAGATAGTGAATCAGGGGGTTGTAGGTTGTATAACAGTGTAATGGTATCACCTGCATAGTCTTCCGCATTATTCTCAACTATGCAAGCTTTACTGGTATAACCCATGTGCAGCCGAGGAATAGCTATGCTCTGGATTTTGGGTAGATCTCTGTTGGTAGGTAGTGGATAGTTCTGTTAGGCTGTCTTGTACCACATTTCTGATCTTGATGCTCCTATTGTCTCGTTAGTCTTGCAGTGATTAATAGAATAGTTTCGTATGTTGTAGACTGAATGGCATAACGGCTCATCTGTGATAGCCTTATCTGCAGCTTCGTTCACTTTTATACATAATGTGATATCTTGATATTGTCTCTTCAGTATCTTATCTGAGAGAAACGGGAGAGCACCTGTGATACCTGGAGACCGGGTGTCCTATTTCTATCTGTTTGCCAAGATAGGAGTGTTGGCTGCTAATCTTCACACCCTGGTTCTATCAAGAGACTGTGGTGAATGTTCCAATGGGAGCTGACCTATAGCTAGAAGTTACGGAGGGTATGAAGGACTTTATAACTTCAGACAAAAATAGCTAAGGAGAGAACTTTGGGAAAAATCTAGCAGGATGCAGAACTGGGGATCTGTGTGAGGATTCGGTGGCCAGATTCTGACAGGGGGAGCTGAAGCTCTTTGTCAGATCATGGGGTACCTGTCGCTAGGAACTTTATTAGTGATCTGCTAAGGACATTATTTTAGACTGTAAGTATATTCGTACATTTAGTTTCGTCAAACTAATTGTATTGCTGTCTCAATATTAATATACTGTAATTGAGTAAAATAATGTACTCACTCCCCTATCTTCAATTTTTCTGTTATTGTATAACATTGATTTATGTGTATCTAGTTAAATTAAGCGGTCCCCATATTGAGGATAAAAAGGACCCGACTTTCTCGCCCGTGACAAAACAATAACTTGGAATGTGATGCAGAGTGGTTCTCCCTTCCCGTGAAGTTAAGACCTGTAAGATGCTCAGGATAGAAGTGATTAATTTTACACAGTCTTATGGTTGGGTGTATCAGAGTGACTGGAGCGCATTAATGGGGGTCCATGTGAATAATGTGTTGCAAGGGTGATGTTTACTAGATTACTTTTAAAAAGGCGTGTATTATTTACACTCTCTTCATAATATGTTCAGGTATAGTGTACTCGGAACTAACTCTTCTTATGGACTGTGCATCTCATAATTATAAAATATTGTCTCTTTTTCCCTTATGTGCAAGGCATCTATGGAATTATCAATTGCACAATAGATGATATTCTTTTTTTTCATTGCCTAATTAAACCTTAATGATTGGTTACCATTACCTTTACCTAGTCTCTATAAAAATTAGGAAATGAGCAGATTTAGAACACATCTGAGGACAAGAAATGAAATAAGAAACAGTTGTCAGGGAGCGTAGGAAGGACAGAATATTTGTATAAACATTTTCTCGGGAGAGGAATCAATTTTACTCACCCTGACGAAGTTAGCGTTGATGTAGTCAGCGCTCACCACCCCGGGCTGACTCCTGAGAACCACCCTTGTGTCGTCATCTGTGGAGATACCAACATTAGTGTCTTGATGGATGGGGCAGGAATAGGAAAGGATATCGGTGGATATCCCGTGAATAGAAAATTAGTGGCTTATATCCTAATGTTAGCACAGTGCATCCTGTGTAGCTGAGACACAGAGTGAAGTAGCGAGGAAGAGGAAATGAGAGTTTTGGAGAACTCCAGGAGAGACGAAAAAGGAGCAGAGAAAAAGAGAGTCAGTAACACATGGATGGACTCACACGGAAGGTTGTTCTTGTAGCGGTTTTTGTAGCGGTTGTTCGGCAGAGTGGCCACAGTGGTGGTCTTGTTGAACCGAGGCGGGATGCTCTGAGGGTGAGACCAAGAGGCTAATAACTTCTTTCAAGTTCTGAAGGTGAGAACAAGAGGCTAGTAACTTCCTACAAACTCTGAACTTGAGAACAAAACGCTAGTTATTCCTTAGAGCCTCTGGAAGAGGGAACAAGGCGCAAGTCGCTTATTAAAGATGAGAATAAGACTCCCTCCCTCCCCATCTCTCTCTCTCTCTCTCTCTCTCTCTCTCTCTCTCTCTCTCTCTCTCTCTCTCACACACACACACACACACACACACACACACACAAACACATGAACCATAGTTCTTGTTGTAAGATTCCCCTACCACACTCAGGGACCGATCAAGCCGCACACTCAGAGTACAGGACTCTGTTACCTTAAAAAGTTACACTAACAAGATTTGACAACCAAATTCCACCACTAGTTAGTCTTAAACAAGGTACTTTCAGGACCTACCCAACTTGTCGTAGACACCAGGTGAATGAAGTATAACAAGCCAATTACGTTGACCCTATCTTAGCTGCAGGAGGGATAATATTTATCGTGGGAGTAAATTATTTGTAAGGAATATCGTAGTTAAACGGGAATCTGAGATGCTAGAAATATCGGAAATGTAACAGAAGTGGGGGGAAGGAAGAGGTGAGGCTGGTGAAATTGGAATATCGGGTATATGACGGAGAGACTGACCGTGAAGGAATATTGGGACAGTGACTGTGAAAAAATATCGGGAATCTGATGGCTAGACATAATTATGGGGAATCTCTGAATAAGATTGTGTAGGGACATCGGGTCTGCGTGGACGGAGGCTCGAGCCTCCACCACTCCTGGTGCTGAAAGACCTGCACAACACAATACAATACAAGTTAATACAATACAGTACATTAACACTCCATCTCCCTTACAGGTCATTACCTGGAATTCCTCATCAATGATGCCCGAGCGGACAGCGTGGTTCAAGTAGGTCTCTAGCTCCTCCCTCCTGACGGGGTGGGAGGGCACGCTACCCAAGATGCTGTCTAGCTTACTTAGCGCTCCTCCTCCTCCTCCTGAGGCTTCTCTTTCCCTTTCTTTTCCCTCTTTGTCCTCTCGGAGTATTTCTCCTGCTTGCCCTGCCTGCCCTCTTGCTTGTCCTCCTGCCTGTCCTCCTGCCTGTCCTCCTGCCTGTCCTCCTGCCTGTCCTTCATGAAGGCTGTGGTTGCTGGAGTGCTCTGTGACTCTGCAATTATCCTGAGTGTTCGTCACTGATCTATCTGCAAGACCAAGAAGAAACTGAATGTTTTATAGTTTTTTCCCTGCCATGGATTAGTTTAGTACTGCTTATTATCAGCGGGTGAGAGGCATACATAACAGCAGAAAATGACACGTTGGATAATTCGTATATACACACATGAATCTTCTGATTTACCCAATAACTTTATAAAGACGGTGGAAAATAGTTTGCAGGAAGTATTCTTTAGCGATCAATAGATGAGTGTCGTGAGTTCCAGGTATATACTTAATAAATCACGAGACCACAAAACCTGTAATAGTGGTCCAAAGAAGAATAGTAAATACACTAAATGTGAAGTGTGTCCATAACATAGTAACTTCTCGTCTGCTTGTATGTAATAAATACATCTTAACCCTGTTATCATTTATCTGTACTGACTTTGACGTTGTGTCAATTTTTTGTACAACAGTCTAATCTTTGCGTTATACTGATGAGAATTTTGTTTAAAAGAAAATTTCCACATGAGCGGATTTCATATTATTGGATAGTAAGAAGATATTTGAGGAACAAGGAGGATTAGCAGGGAATGCTCTTCAGTGGATCAAAGAGAACTTTACTGGAAAGAGGCAAAGAGTGATTGTCCAAGGTGTCAGAATTCGGAAACTGTAACAAATGGGATTCCGGAAGGATCGGTATTCAGACCAGTTCTCTTTCTGGTGTATGTAAATGATATACAATAAGAAATATCGAGATAAATCCCCGGCCGCAGATCTAAAAGTAATGAAAATAAAAAGCGACAAGGACAAGGAAAGGCTACAGATGAACATGAACCAAGTGAAGAAATGGTCATGCAAGTGCTTACTGGAATTCAGATTCAGCATATGCAGGGTTATGAAAATTATGGAAGGCGTAAGAAGACTAGAAAATATATTGTACCCTTGAGACATAGGCTAAAAGTCATGCATGAGGAGAAAAACCTGGGTATTAAGGCAGTCCCGAACATATCGCCACAGGCGCACAACTGAATAACACGCCTGGCGCCACCAGTTGGTACGCCTGACGCCACCAGTTGGCACACCTGACTCCACCGGTTGGCAAGCCTGACATCACTAGTTGGCACACCTGACGCCACCAGTTGGCACGCGATTAGTGAAGCTGAAAGAAATTCGAAATATTTTTTTTCATATGCGAAAAACAAGGCAAATACAACATCTAGTATAGGGCCCTTGATCATACAAGATGGGACTTACATAAATAACAACAAAGGAATGAGTGAGATACTGAAATTCCAATACCCCTGTGTTTAGCGAGCCACTAATCGGTCTGAAGATCCACAATCCAAATGATTTTTCCATGAATGAACCTCAAAACTCCATCAATGTATGCCAGATTTCCGACATTACCCTAACTCCGAAAGACTTTGAGAAAGCCATTGACAACATGCCCATGCACTCAGCCCCAGACCTAGACTCGTGGAACTCTGTTCATTAAGAACTGCAAGAAACCCCTTTTGCCTGCCCTAAGTATACTATGGATAAGGAGCTTGGACCTGGGTGAAATTCCAGTCACTAAAAACAACGGTTATAGCACCACTCCATAAAGGTGCCAACAAAGCTAAGAGCTATAGACCAACAGCACTAACATCCCATATCATAAAAAAAATCTTTGAGTTCCAAGAAGCGCGATTGCAGACCACTTGGATCTCAAAATCTGCACAATCCAGGGCAACATGGGTTCAGGGCAAGTCGCTCCTGCCTCTCACAACTACTGGATCACTATGATATGGTCTTGGATGCATTAGAAAACAAAAACAGAATGCAGATGTAATATACACAGACTTTGCAAAAGCCTTTGACAAGAGCGATCATGGTGTAATAGCCCATAAAATACGTGCTAAAGGAATAACTGGCAAAGTGGGGAGATGGATCTTCAACTTTCTAACTAATCGAGCACAAAGAGTAGTGGTCAACAGAGTTAAATCGGAGGCTGCCATAGTGAAAAGCTCTGTTCCACAAGGCACAGTACTCGCCCCCATCCTGTTCCTCATCCTCATATCAGACATAGAGATGTAATCCACAGCACAGTATCACCCTTTGCAGACGATACTAGTATCTGCATGAGACTGTCGTCTATAGAGGACACGGTTCACTTCCAAAAACATATATACCAAGTTTTCCAGTGGGCAACGGAAAACAACATGATGTTCAGTGAGTACAAATTCCAACTATCCGTTATGGAAAACTGAAAGAGATAATAATTAGATCTGAGTATACTACAAACTGATCGTACAATATAGAGGAAAAATAATGTGAGGGACCTGGGAGTGGTAATATCTGAGGATCTCACTTTCAAGGCTCACAACACTGCCACGACCACAACTGCAAAGAAAATGATAGGATGGATAATGAGAACTTTCAAAACAAGAGATGCCAAGCCAGTGATGATCCTTTTCAAATCACTTGTTCTCTCTAGGCTGGAATACTGCTGTACATTAACATCTCCGTTCAAAGCAGGTGAAATTACCGATCTAGAGAGTGTACAGAGTACCGTTGCTGCACATATAAGTTCTATCAAACACCTCAACTACTGGGAACGCTTGGAAGCACTTGGCTTCTACTCGCTGGAACGCAGGCGAGAGATGTATCATAATCTTAGAAGGAATGGTCCCGAATCTGCACACAAAAATCACTTCCTCCAAAAGTTAAAGACTGGGCAGGCGGTGCAAAGTACCCCAATGAAAGTAGGGGCGCCATTGGTACACTAAGAACACATCATAAGTGCCTGGGGCCCAAGACTGTTCAACAGCCTCCCATCACCCATAAGGGGAATTACCAATAGGCCCCTGGCTTCCTTCAAGAGGGAGCTGGACAGATACTTAATGTCGGTGCCGGATCAGCCGGGCTGTGGTTCGTACGTTGGACTACGTGCGGCCAGCAGTAACAGCCTGGTTGATCAGGCCTAGATCCACCGGGATGCCTTGTCGTGGACCGGGCCGCGGGGGCATTGATCCCCGAATACCCTCCAGGTGGACTCCAGGCAGGTAGGTAGACGCCTGACGCCACCAGTTGGCACGCCTGAGACGTGTAAACATGGCGGTTTCCTCAGCTTTCTGCCTCAGTGGCGCCAAACTTACCCCGCTGAATCAGAAATTCTTGCGTATTCCTGGTCATCTGTCTGCCGTCGGTCTGTGGTCTTACCCCCGCGGCTCAGACCTTTACCCGGGGTCCCTGGTATGGAGACATTTCTCAAAATGTGACGTCAAGCGCCGGTGCTTCCGAGACGTCGCAACATCGGCGGTCATATCACCACATCTGCTGTGGCTAAATGTCGCTTTGATGTAGTAACGTCGTGTGGGAAATTATTATTATTATTATTATTATTATTATTATTATTATTATTATTATTATTATTATTATTATTATTATTATTATTATTACTATTATTATTATTATAACCCACAGTAGGAGAGGAAACTAACATATAACACAGAAGGGAGATTAACCAAGGATAACTTCCATCATAACACTGTATCACCTTTTGTAGACGATACTAGAATGTGCGTTAGTGACATCCATGGTAGACACAGTGAGCCTCCAAGTTAATTTAAACCAAGTTTTCCAGTGGAGTACTGATACCAATATGATGTTCACTGAGGACAAGTTTCAGTTATTACGCCGTGGAAGAATGGAGGATATTAAAACCAAGATCATAGCACAATACAGACTCAATAGAACGTTAGTCAAATGTGAGAAACTTGGGAGTGATAATGTCAGATCTCACGTTCAAGGAACACAACAATGTTTTTGTCGCAACTGTAAGAAAACTGAAAGGTTAGTTAATTAGAACCTTCAAAAGAAGGGATGCTAAGACAGAAATGATACTCTTCGGGTCACTCGTTCTCTGTAGGCTGGAACATCGCTGGGTACTAACGATCTTCTTCAAGGCAGGTGAAACTGGTGAGCTGGAAACTGTGCAGAGAACCTTCACAGCTCGTATAAACTCAGTCAAGTACCTAAATTACTGGTAGTGCTTGAAGTCCCTGAAGGGATTGGTACCAGACCTGCACACTGAAAACAAGTGGCTTGGCAGACGGTGCAGGGGAGCGATGAGTTCACCGAGAGAACTCGCTAAGTGTTAAGGAACCACGACTCTTCATTACCCTCCTTTCATGCAAAAGGCGGATCGCCCTAAGCTACCTTCAAGATTGAACTCAATGGATTCCTCAAAACGTTTCCTGATCAACCGGGTTGTGGTGCATACCTGGAGTTTACCTGGAGAGAGTTTCGGGGGTCAACGCCCCCGCGGCCCGGTCTGTGACCAGGCTGTGACCGTTGGCTGGCAGTAACAGCTTGATCGATCACTCCAGCAACCAGGAGGCCTGGTGTGCGACCGGGCCGCGGGGACACTGACCTCCGGAAACGACCCCCGGGTAACCTCCAAGTAATTAAATATTGGTTATTTTCTCCGGACAGCATTTACAAAAGTCGACTCACAGACAGGTACCTGCTTACTGCTAGGCGAACAAGGGCAACAGGTGTCTGGAAACTTGCTCATATGTGTCATTCCCTGGCCCGGCATGGAACATGGGTCATTACAGTTGTGAGAACATCATGCAAGTATGATATCATGCAGTGGTGAGTCCTTCTTGAGTGTCCTGCGCGCTCATCCCAGCTTCCTGCAGGATTTCTATTACACACACTCACTCTTCACCCACATAGTGACTTATAACGGGAGGTAATAAGGTTTTTTCAAGAAGAGGAGAGTGAGAGGGTAGCTGGAGTTTGCCTGGAGAGGGTTTCGTGGGTTAATGTCCCCGCATCAGCATCAGGGTAACTCCCTCCCCCCTATCCCGTTGCTCTAATGTAACGGGGTGATACAAACGGGAGAACATTTCCATCAGAGGCAGATCCAGGGCAGGGTCTTGGATCCCCTAGGCCACACTGGGTCACTATGAAAGACCACTGGGCCACTGCAAGAAACCACTGGGCCACTACGAGAAACCACTAGGTCTCTGTGAGAAACCACTGGGCCATTATGAAA